TTTCAGGTAGGTGACAAGATCCTGTAACAGGACAGCCTTATGGTAGTACTTAGGGGAAGGTTGGCTGTGGAGTACAGGACAAGGAGAGAGAGAAAACAGGTGTGGATTCCCCTTGTTCTCTGCAGTGAAGCTGACTTACGTGGAGTTGCAAGTTATGCTGTGTTCCAGCATTACGAACAAAAAGCTCATTCAACAGTGCCTAGCTTTGAGTGCTGCTGAGTAATGTGCCTGCCCTTCTGCCTTTTGGTTCTACCAGTATGACTGCACGGCCATGCAGTGAGCTGAACTGGGAAACAGATCCAGCTGAAAAACAACCGAGCAGGTAAACCAACTTTTAAAACTGTGGACACATCAGGGAAACCAGTCCGTAAAGTTGTGCTTGCACAGCTGAGGTGGCAAGCCAAGGAGAGAGCAGTCTTCACCTGTAGAAGTTGGAGATGTAAGGTACCAGCCTGCATATACGTCGCTGGAGCCAGGGTAACCGTGTACACCTTCTCGGCCCACTACAACTGTGATGTGAAACTTGATGTAAAGGTTAAGCTTCTGTGTCATATCAAGCTTGCAGCAGCCTCACAGCATTTGCATGATTAGTTCTAAGAGGCAGTAACTTGGAAACTGTGGTAACTTGATCACCATTTTATGGCTCAGATATTTAAATTATCCCACCCACTGGCTTGATGCAGTGATTTTGATGTTAGTGCAATAAGAAATGAGCTCAGAACCTGGTCTGGCACATGCAGATTTGCCTTTCTAAATGTGCATCCTACAGGAATGAGCTGTTACAGCAGGCTTGGCCATGGGAGTCCAGCGCACACAGGTGGTGTCTGCAGGTGTGTCATGTGTCTGATTCTGGAGCATTAGTGAAAATGGGATAGCGATGCCTGAAGAGTTTCTGCTGGTTTAATTCTCACTGTATTAAGAAATCACTTTTTGTGTGGGAGGTGAGGAAAGCTAGCTGGGCTTAATAAATTATGATTTTTTTTTTTTTTTTATTAAAAAAAAAAAAGGGTATAGCATGCATGGGTACAGTTATGTAAGAGAAGCAGAGAAGGAAGTAGATCAGTGTTTCTCTGAGAACCTTATCCACAGAGCTGCCGGGGAATTGGGCTGCAGGATCATGCTCAGCACACCCTCCACTTCCTTTTTTCCTTTTTGGGGCCAGAGATGGGTGAATTTATGGAGCGGTGAGCAGGATGCAGGCTCTGACTCCAGCCAATGCTGTGTGGCGCAGTGGTGTTTACCTAGCTTACGCAAGGCAGAGCCAGCCCCTCTTTAGTCAGAAGGCGCTACCCACAGCTTAAGTAAAAGCACACAGAGCAGAGGCACTCAGTCTGGCAGTTGCTGCGGGTTTAAAGGAATTGGTGGATTTTGGCTGGTTTTAAACAAGATCAAAGGGGTGGGTTTTTTTCATCTCTACTGCGTAGAAATACTGAAAGGACAGAAAGATACTGGTAAGTGCTCTGCATGCCATCACCGTTCGCTTCTAGTTGTTTTACTGTTTGTCTCTCTTCTAAAAGCTTCCTCCGTTTTTCAGTGTTTTTCAGTGGGAAGTTGAAAGATAGTTCAGTGCTGTGGCCGAAAGGAAATCTGAGAACAGGCAGTGTGTCTGTGGGCTACCCTTCCACCTAAAATAGGAAGAGACATTCAAAGTGCATAGTGTAATGAATGCTTCTTGTTCGTAAGCAGTGTCAGTTGCTTCGCATTTTTAGGGTGCATTGCAAAATGCCTTGGAACTGTCCGTGTTACCTAACAAAATCATACCAAGGGGAATTTCTCATAGAGCTGTTAAATAGTTGTGCTGTCTAAATGGGGGGGGGGAGGGGGGAAGTGGGGGGTGTTAAGGAAAAAAAAAAAAAAAGACTTTAAATGTAACTCCCGTTTTTGCAAGATGATGCAGTATGCTATGTGAAAAGGCTTTAGTGTAATAGAAACACCTATTTAGCTGATACTTTGGTACGTAAACTGCCTCATCAGGAAGTCAGAGGCTCATAAAGAGCAAAACGTTCAGATCTGTAGAACAAGAAGTCATTGTGGTTTTCTGCAAGCACGGGGTCCTTGGCTGTGTATTTCAGTTCAGGTGCATCAGACAGTAGATTTCCCCTGGGCTCAGTCATCAAAGCATAAACAGCTCCATCTATGTGCTTAACGGCCCTTTTAAAAATAAAATGCCTCTGTTTTGGTATAAACTCTTAATCTATATATGGAAGTTGTGCTTCTGTCACCCGCTTGCAATGAAGTTGGGACTGCTTATTTTCAAGGTAATACTGTGTAATTTGTCTAAAGGCAGTAAAGAGGATAATTCTAAAGCATGGTGACTGCAAAGTTTCTTTGTATCAGGACAGTACTTTTGCCACTTTGTACCAGTATTGTACAAAGTTTTTTTTTTTCCATGCTTGTAATTTTGCAAGGCATTCCCTGAAGATACTAATAGATAGTGCTATGGCTAGTTAACACCTAAAGTTGTTTTACCAGCATGCCTCTGTCATATTGCTTTGTGGCTTCATACTTTACAGGTTACATAAATAATCTGCATTTGATAATCTGAGCATGAAACCAAAACTATCCCTTCTTAATAAAACATACCGAGTTTGTAGTAACAGCCAAAGTGCAAGTGCAGCCAGAAACTGATGTAGAAAGCTGCAAATTAATCTTCTGAAGTAGCTCGTGTGAATAACTTGCACAGGTAGCTCAGCTGATTGAGCAAGCACAACCTGTAGTGCTTGGCCTTTGCTTCAGGGGCCGTGAGTGGAGGGGCTTTGCCGACTGCGAGGTTGTGTGAGTTGTCACTGGTATATCCGAAAGCTGACGTGGAGGACATGGGTGGTAAGGGGGTGTAGACTGCATGCAAATGCAGCAGTTTAACTGGTGAAGAACTTTCTCAGCTAATTAAGGTTATAGATAATATTGCAGTGACAGTTTTAAAATAGACACCTTGTGCTAAAAGACAAATGTTTTCAGCTTCCCACACGCAGTCTGAATTACATCATTTATAACCTGTAGGAGGCTATCGTGGTTTCCTCAGGGGAGGATCAGCTGTTACTTTTTCTAACTGAAAAAAATGATGGATTTTATCATTTTTTTACCAGGGGAATATTTTCAGAATTGATTTTTGTCAATCTGTCGGAGTGCGTTGTTAGCAGTTACATAAATCTTCCAGGTTTAATATGCCCAGCCATATTCTCATCCCATCGGTGGCAATTCAGAATAACAGGAATGAAGCTAGCAGAGGTCTGATTGAAATACAGGGGTATTTAGATTTTTTTTTTTCCATCTTCAGAACAGGAATGCTATTTTTGAGTACTGTCATAAAATACAGATTTTCATATAGGTACTTATAATAGAAGTCTTGTTCTAAAACACTTGCCTTGTTCATTGAACGAGGATGCTTGTCCTCACAGTGCTGTTCCTGACTTTCTTAAAATTGCTGAGAACTTCTCAGACTTGCTTCTGAGGCTGAAACAGAACTTGAAGCAGGATACTGGATGGCAATCTGACTAAAACTGCTCTTTCTTAGACTGGAAAAAGTTAGCTGTGGCCTTGGTGCAAAGCAGTAGGCTTGCTCCTGTGTGTCAAGTTAATGCCCCTTTCAAAGTGTCTACTGGCAATATGCTTATTTTTTTTTCTTTTTTTTTTTTGGTGCTGTGACTCTTGTATGACTTATTTTCAGGATGACCAGCCTACTGATGACAGATGTCTGTGGTAAAGAGATGCTTTCATTCTGTTTGAGAATGAAAAACCCCCTCTATTGAGTTTTTACAGATGTTCTCAAGGCACAGCAACAGATAGTTGTTTGCATTGTTTTATGCTTCATATCCTGTGCAGGAGATACTCATTCCAGAGCTTGTTGTCTTATTTTCAATTCTTTCATATCATAAGACACTCTTGTGTATAGAGTGGATAACTAAGCTTATTCAGAGGTTATAAAAGAAAAGGCAAACAGTATAGACTAAGGAAAGAATAAGCCATACAAAAGCAAAAACTGGACTGATTGTCCACACTCCCAAAGCGTATTTGTATATTTTTTTTGGTGCTGAAAAAACTCCCTTTTCTAGAAAGGAGAAAATTAATTATCCTTGCTTAGAAAGGTAAAGTAGGGCTACTTATCTAAAGTGACAGTGCAATTTGAATACATAACAGCTGCATCACTGTTCCTTTACTGTGCATCTGCAGTGAAGGATGCAAGCTGTAGATCGAATCTGGCTAATCTTGAAAGTGGAGTATAAAACCTGCTGAACTTAAAATTCCAAGTATGTGTGTGAAGGAAATGTGAGCTTATTTTTAACTGGAAACTGGGAGAAGTGTGAAAACTATGGTTGATAAACACGAACTCTTCTGCATGCTCTTTTACCCAGGTGATTGCTTCAGTAAAAACTGTTTTAATAAAAGCTGCCAAAAAGATTGCTGGAAAAAGCAGTTAAAGGGGAGTAACTTTCCAGTGGTGATTTAACCATTGTGCAGAAGAAAGTGATTTCTCAATCCTTGTCTCACCTTTCAGAAGTAGTGATGCAAGGGGCTGATTCCTTATTGCTCACACCAGTGGAGATCAGCAGTAACATCATTGATACTGTTTGTGAAATCTGGCAACCTGGATTTGATGGGGACTCGTAATCAAACAAGAAGTCAGTCTGCTGGGAATTACTTTGGGGTTTTTTTTACTACTTTCGCATTACTTTTTGCCTCTTCCTTCTTCCATGCTTGCAAATACCTTAATCTTGAGAGACTAGTATTCTGCATGGATCCTTTGTGTCTCACAGTGACTTTTAACTTTGAGATTCTGGTCCTTTAAAGCTGGCCATCAAGATTTTGCTTTTGAAGGGGTGAGACTTAACAATAGAAGAGAATATGCAGCACTGAAATAACTGTGCATGTGTTCGGAGGAGTTTGATTTCTGATCTTGAAGTCGCAAGATTGCTTAGTGGAAATTGGAGTGCTAAAGACCTTAAATGTGTAAATGTGTAAATGGATGTTGGCAAACTTGGGTCCTACTTGTGTTTTGTCAGGTAACTGCACCCTCCAATGTGAATTCTTGCTTGAAGAAGAGAAGTATGGGGTTTTAAATTGAAATAAAGCTATAGACAGTAATGTGTGAATCTCAGAAGGGTAAGGATAAAATTTTGTTTCTTTTGTAATGGAGTTGTTCATAATTTATGTCTAAGTGATCAAAAGTGCACCTAAGGTGCATATTTCAGTTGCTTGATAAAATTGTGTTGGTCTTTCTAAAGTTAATTGTATTCCTAGAATAATTTAGGTTGGGGGATTGTCTGGTCCAGTCCCCCTACTGAAAGTGGGACTGGACTGCCTTTGATCAGGTTGTTCAGGGCCCCATGCAGCTGAGGTTTGAATATCTCCAAGGATGGAGATCCCATAGCCTCTCTGGATTGTTTTTTTCCCTGATAGCTAAATCAGGATTTTCCGTGTTGCAGTTTCTTTGTTTGTCTCTTGTCCTGTCACTGCGTATCTGTCAGACTGGATTACATTTTGCCCATATCCCCTCAGTTTAGCACAGAATTGCTGAAGGAAGAGCCGGATGTGAGAGTTGCAAGAATAGTAAATGGAGAACTACAAATAGCAAATAGTATAAAAATAAAAACATCAGTAGACAAGCTGTCTTGTGCTTTATTTCTAAAAGCCAGAGAAATCAAACCTTGGAATATGTAAATATAAAATGTAATGAAGGTAATAGTATAAAAATGGGGGGGGGGGAATGCAACTTTTGCATCCGAATCAGCATATTTTTATTTTAATATACTCATTGACAGAGGACTTCTTTTTATACTGTGAAAGTGGGTTTTTTTTTAATGCAATATTTTAGAAAAGGGCTAGTCTGGCACTAGCTACAGTTGCTAGCAGCCTATAATGCTGGCTCTGTGTTTAGAAAATGATGGTAATTTATTACAAAGAGACTTTTATTCTAGTATTTTTAGCTCACAGCCGAGTGTTTAATGAATCTCTGCTTGGGCTCATTGAATTTATGTTCTCCCTTCCCCCCTGCCCCATTTTAACCATTAAGACACTGCTATTCTTGCTGCAATTCCAAAAGCTGTACTTGGTCTACTAAAGAGTGAACTTATTCACGAGGTGCTGTGCCTTAGTGCAACCAAGATCTGAGGACTTTCTGTTGAAGCCACCAAAGACTGGTCATGTATGAGTCTCATGATGAGAAAAGGCAGCTGAGTGTTTGAGGATGGCTGGTAAGCTAAAGCTGATAGTTCAAAAGCAACCCAAATTCACTAAATCTTTGTCCCCCACTGAAAATGGCATGCTCAGTGAAAGTGGGTGGATTCTTAAACTCTTCATCTACTCTGAAGCATGGTTTGCAGGGTCTTCTGGAGAGCAGTCTGCCTCTAGATTCAGAGGGTAATATTTGAATGTGACAGGAGAGAGTACAATGATACAGCTTTTCCTTCTACTTCAGTGTAATCAGAAACCCATGCCTTGTTTTCTGCCATAGCAATCTTTGCCTTCCATGACTGAAGTGAATACTGAAGACCAAAAAAGCTTGTAAGAAACTGGATTTCCATTCCTAAAACAAATTTTAAATACTTTTTTCAGCTTAGATGTCATCTTTTTCCAGTCCCTCAAAACAGTTGCACATGACAGTACCCTGCAAGTTACCTTCATTGAGCTTTGTCCCACCTCCAGAGGAACCAGTGTTAAAAAGTTACTATGTGTTCGTGAGTTCTTGTTCCAGTTTCTTATTTTTGAGACTGAAAAATGCTAACTGCTACCCATGGTGGTTTTGTGCTAACTGCAAACAGTTGTGCTCACCTCATACCCAACCAAGTATCGCCTTTCCAAAACAGTTTTTTCTGTGTGCAAGTTTCTTTACTCACAAAATATTTTCAGTTCTTTAGTACAGGACAGTGCACAGGTAGGGCTTTTTAAGGCTTTGGTCTCTGTAGCAGAAGCAGAGATCTTGATGTGAAAAATTCGCTGCTGCCAGTTCTGTGATTTTGGAAGAAGGTTGGTTGGGCTGGGATCTTGTAATTAACACCTTTTTCCTCAGCAGCATCGAAGGTGGTTGGAGGAGTTCAGAGCAGTTGTTCAAAGCCTGCTTCAATTAAGCCCATTCTACCAGTGTCTGGAGATGTTGCTGCAAAAAGCAGCAAAAATCTAACTTGAGCATATTTTGTTCAAGCAGTCAGTTCCTTAGTTACATACTGGCACTTCAGGGCCAAGGTTTTCTTTTTAAATGTATTTAATTAGCCTCTCCTAACACTTCCAAGAAGTGTCCTCTAGTATTCTAGGAATAAAAACTAGTCAGGTTATAGTATAAGAGAAGGCCCATTACATAAATTAGTGGAGCCTTCATCTCTACTCAAGAGCATTCCCTCCTGTAAGTTCTTAAATGTTTTATCCAGCTTTAAGTGATCCATAAGCCTGCTCTGTTTCAGGAGTGGAGATGTTATCCTGTGGCCTATTAGACTCATATCCAGTGGGACAGCACTTGAGTTTTATTTGCAGATGTCAAATTTCACTTGGGCTAGCCTTTGGGACCTCATTAGAAGAATATAATAAATCTTTTTTATTTCTGGGAATGAAATGAGTCTTCCTTTTGGATACAGTGCATGAGGCAGATCAGACTGGGTGAGAAGTAGTAGGTATGTTGCACCAATTGCATATATATATATATATTTTTTTTTAGGGACACTGAATTTTGTATGTGTTTGAATTGAAGTTAACTGGGTGGTATTAGTAGTTGTGAAACTGGTGTGTGCAGCTCATACAGGTTCTGAGACGTGTTTTAAAAAAAATAATCAAGTTCAAATATTCAAGCCATGCTTTTTTAAAAAATCTAGGAGCAAGCTGTTTTCCTAATGATAGCTCTAGATTTCTAACTCCTTGAACTTTCCTTAAGTCAAATAAGAAGTGGGTTTCCATCATATGTGCTGGTCCCAAAATAAACTTGGCTGGATTTCTTTAAATGTGAAACAAAAAAATGTATTAAGGGGCAGCTGAGCATTAGATGTTGAACACTCTTCCTTATACCAAGATTTTCTAGTTAACTTCTTGTACTGCTGAAGTCTGCCCCTTGGAACTGTTTGCCCCTTTTATGGTTTCTGCTCAGTTATTTCTTAAGAGGAGGTTACTGGCCACCTGTTCAGGTAACTTTAAAGCAGAGTCTCCTTTAACTGTTCATGTGTAATTCCTTTTTAATGAGACTTAGAAGCTGACCGGGACATGTATTCTTCAACTTTTGATGAAACGGTTCACTTGGGTGAACAGAGGAGAAGTTACACCAAGCCTTCTCTAGTACTAATGGCAAAATGCTTCCCTTCCCACCTTCTCATAGTTAATGGATTAGGTCTTTATCAAACACTGTAGTGTCGGGTTAATATTATTCTAATCTTTTTTTGCCATGTCATGGGATTTACTAGTCCTATGCTCTGTCCTAATGGGCGGTGCTATAGATTACATAGCAGTATTTCTTCTGAGTTGTTAAATGTCAATTCAAAGGACAACCATTATGCATTCTAGCAAAGAACTGTGAAGCATCACGTGCGAAATGCAATGGCCAAACTGAAATTAGTTGTACATGGAGAAGACTGAATTGCAGGGGAGTGGCTTCTGAGGAGATCAATATTCAAGTAGAAAATGGGTTAATCATTTGGGGAGGAGATTAAAACATGAGGAGCTGCTTTTAGAAGAGAATATATAAGCAGCTATAATGCAAGGAGATTTTAAAATAAAACAAAACAAGAAATGCTGAAGTTGATAGTAAAGATACTTTATGGAAAATACATTTATATCCTTATTTTTATATACAGGTAAGCGCTTAAGATTTATACTCGCTTCTTAAGTAGAATGAGTTCAGAAAGGAGATGTGGCTAGAGAACCAAGTGCTATTAAACACTCAGAGCTAGATAGTTTAGTATTAATGCCAGTAAACCACCACCTACAGTGTCTTCAAAGGCACATGGTTTCAGAGGATTGCTGGTGTGGTGCTCCAGGGTGGGTTTGTGATGCCAGGAGGCAAGGAAGACCCCAGATGGCCATGGCAAACGTGAGAACTTTGAATACAGTTAATGTTGTGGGGCTCTATTTATCAAATGGGACAATCTCCACTTTGATGTGTTACGACTGCTGGCACGATAGGAGTAGTTTAAGGTCACGTTTTCATATAAGTTTGTTTTAAATTCTTCATTTTAGAATTTTAAAGGCAAGACTATGGGCCCCACCTACAAGAGCAAGTACCCTCAGCATCCCAGTTGAGTAACTGCTACACGAGGGTCAGCAGAAATGCTTCGGAGCAAATTATACTGCTTTTCTCTCTCCTGTGCCGCCGCTGTTATTCCTGTGTGACAGATGGGGCCTGTTGGATCAGTACAGGCACTTTCTGCACCAGCTAAATGATGGCTCCCCTAAGGCTTGAGCCAGGATAGGTGCCTGCTGAAAACGCACACCACTTTGTGCAACAAAAAATGCATCGGTGTAACTTGTGTAGATGGGACTCGGGCATTTCACAGTAGTGTTATGCAGATCAGGATTATTACAACGCACTCACACATCTAGCTGTGGGACAGGATCCCTTTGTGATAATGTTACTTATGTGTGTGCTAACCACAAAGACAGTCTTCAGTTAGCTTCTTATTTCAAGCACTGTGAAATCCACAGTACCCAGACTTGAGAGCAAAGGAGAAGAGATTTAGAAAATAATGAGAAATGCAAGGAAAAAAGAAAGGTTTTGATTTAGCCACCTGGTTGTGTTCTGCAGGCATCACAGCAAAGTTGGTAGGACAGTAAGATGTCTTTGTGTGTGCCTGTATGAAGCCTTCCAAAGATACGTGGGATATATATGTGAGATAGCATGCAAGAAAGCACGAAGGAGCATACTGAATTTTCAGAGAGCACTGTGAGCTGATTTCATGTGGGGATCAACATATCTGTGCTGAACAAGAAATTGGTAGATCGAGAAGAGATGTTGAAGGCCAAGCTTCTCTCTGAAGGAGTAAAGAGGGACCGGGAGAGGGTAGAGATCAGGTCAGTAAAAAGGATCTTTGCATCAGCTTCTGAATAAACATGAGCAGGGTGTCAAGCACTGCCACATCCTTTTCTCTGTTGTTAGGACATAAGATGGGGAAAGATAAAATCTGCATCATGACATCTTTTCTGCTAATATCTACTGTCTAATTGAGAGAGAAGAAAATGGAGATACAGCATTGTAGTCATGAACAATGTTGACAGAATTAATGAAATGTTATGTTGGCCAAAATGTGTATTTGCACAAAGACAGAATGTTAACCATCAGGTCAAAAAAAAAAAAATAGCTTTTTGAGTTGGTGTGAAAACTTACCTGGAAGGACTGAGGGAATGTTCTTTCTGTTAAAGAAGGCCTCAGGCAGGCTGGCATCAGCTTTATTCTTTACTGAGCAAGTGCTCTGTTGAGTAGGCTTTATCTATAGGAAGGTCAGAGATGTCTGGAAATGCTACTAACGAGAAGCTATAAAAAAATCCTAGTGTGAACTTTTCTTCAAACCAGAAGTACGACAAAAAATTGTACTTCAAGAGACTGTTTACATTTAAAATTATGTGGAATTCCCTTGGAAAAGCTACTTCAAACAGCTATTTGTATCACTTCTGTCTCTGGTTAAACATGGGAGATCACATTGCACACCCCAAACTTGTATGGTAGACTCGATATCAAATTGTCATACAACTTCCTTCCATCTGTAAATCCAGAAATTCCTTGGAAAGCTCTCAGATCCTTTCCATGATAACTCTTACCTCTCTAGGTTAATAGATTGATCTTGCTTTGTTGTTTCGTGGTGGGTTTTTGTCGTTTTTTTGTTGTGGTTTTTTTTTTTTTTTCCCCTTTTTTAAATTTAATCCCTATTTGGGATTAACTGCATGACAGTTGAACCAAACATACTACGTGAAGCTACATACCATTTATACTAAGAGCTAGCATGAAGGAAAACAACTGTGGATGTTTTACCATGGCCATACTGGAATTTTCTAAGTACACTTGTTGGGTTTTTTTGTGATCTGGTAGTTCTTCCAGGCAGTTCAACCTTAATTGACATGGTTTTATACTTATGTTTTTAAAATGACTTCAGCAAAACCAAAATAAGGAAAAACCAAAATGTTGTACCTGCTATATCAGACAAGTGTGCACGTTTGCGTAATTGATGGATTTAAGTCTTAAACTCAAATAATTTTATCTTTTATTGCTTAATTTTATCTTTGTTTTTACAGGAAATAATGAAAAAAGTGTGCCACAACTCTTGATCAGAGACCTGAAATTTGAGAAGTCATTATCTAAGCTCATGTTTTCTCCTGATCAAGAAAATCATCCATCAAAAGCACCAGTAAAATATGGTGAATTGATTGTGTTGGGGTAAGTGTTTGTGTCTTGGTTGGAAGCGAGAATGAAGGTAGAATTGCAGGGTGCACTTAAAGCAGATAAAATGCAGGTTGCTGTGAGATGGGCCCCCCCAACCTGCCACCCGAACTCCCTCTTTTGCAGTGTATCTAGTGAGCGTGTAACTGAATAGTGAGCTGATCAGCTTTTCTTTGGTAGCTGATCTCAGGTAAGGGAGGGAGCGGAGGGAGGGCTGCTTTTTTCAGGGGCAACCAGGTGTTACACGTAATGTGATATATTGGAAAATTGCACGGCAGTGTGCGTACTTTTTTGTGACAGCATGAGCATGGAGATAGGACGCTAAACTTTTGAGCAGACGTAAGTTGGTTTTCAGCTCTTGTGTTCTTCCCAGGGAAGCATTTCGTGACAAAGGCAGCCAATTTGTGAAGGGTTTCCCCTTTGGTTCCAGGCTGTACCAAGACAGATGACTAACATGATAATGTGGAAGGAGAGGTTCCCTAGGACTTAAAGTAAAATGAAAGTTTTGTTAAGAACGCGGTAGCTGACTGTAATATCCAAGTGCAAACAGAAGATTTTAATCAAGCAAGTTTTGCCAGCTGACCTGTTTGTGTTGACATGTTCAAAGTGAGAGTCTGAGGGTTTTCTAATGAATTAAATTGGAGTCTTGGAGGACAGCATACCTATTTCCTATGGGTTTTTATTTCAGTTGAAATTCTCTAAAATACTAGCTCTCCACCAGAGAGAGTATCTCTCACTAGTTGATGAATATTTAGAATCTTTAATTTACGGTGTGAATATATCATTTAGAGATAAAGATACAGATAGGCATACAACCTTACTTGTTTTCATGTTTGGGGCCTTAGTCTTTTTGTCTTGTCAGTAGTAGATTTGAGATTAATCTGGGTAGCATCCCTTGCCCTACGAGCGCTGTGTGCATATACTGGAATTATGTGGGCATGTTTTGATAGTGTGTTTATCGATTCTCAGATTTATGTGGGATTAATTGGAAATCTGTAATTATTAATGCCATACTAATTAAGAAGACCTTGCTTAGAATGAAAGTTCTTGTGCAGCTGTATCTCATGAGAAGCTAAGTAATACGGGAAAGTGGACTTGGTTCTTTTTCTGTGCTTTTTTGATAGGTACAATGGATCTCTCCCAAATGGAGATAGAGGAAGAAGAAAAAGTAGGTTTGCTTTATTTAAAAGGCCCAAGGCAAATGGGGTGAAACCTAGCACTGTGCATATTGCCTGTACCCCTCAAGCAGCAAAGGTAAGCTCCATTTGGCTAGTGAAGTCTTACTTCTCCTGGTGCTGTCTGAAGAGTTCAGGGAAGCCAGTGCTGTTAGGCTGAGATGAAATGATGTAAAAAGCATGAAGTTCTGGCTGTGAAAAGAATAGTTCATGTTTATCCAAGGTTTTTTTGGTACCTGTCAGGGTTAGCAAGAAACCGTTCAGCCAAACAAATCTGGTGCCCAGTCCTTGCTGTGTCCGGAAAGAAAAACGTTTATTTTTGAAACATGAATGCTCAGGGCACAGGCTAGTCATGTAAAACACTTTCTATTTTGTTTTTCTTCCAAACTCACTGCAGACATCTGTTCTAGACTTCCTGTTTTCGCACTCACTCATGCTTTAGGACTAACTTTGCTTCACGTGAGGCTGACTTTTAAATGATCCTTTGCCAGAGCTCTGTGTGTACTTGCTACTCCATCCAAGGGGTAGAAGTATCCCGGGGATGAGGACAGGTGGGTTTTGCAGGGCATGTTTTATAGGGCTTGTAATCAGAGTTCCCATTAAGAAGCAGTAAAGGGCAGGCTTAGGTCCTGAAGTTGAATTGTGTTCCATGTCAAAACTCGTACTTCTGTATTGCAGTGATTCGAGTGTATATGCATATATGCAATTATATTCAATAACAAATGAAGCATTTCTACTAAAATCAATGGAATTTGAGAATGCTTAGTGGCGATTTAGAGATCTCCAGTGTCAAGATCAGGCTCTTAAACAAATACAGCAGTGTTAAGTGTTTGACTCCCTAAATACCTTGACACTTAAGAATATCGATTCTTAAATTCAGGGAATGGCACAAAATATTCTCAGAAGCATTTTGCTAAGCAAAGTTCTTGTAATAGTATCACATTTATAGGAGAGCTGTGAAAATAGCATTTATTTTTGCTAATTCTTTGCGGTCTTCGAGGAAGTACTATTTAGAAGCACTTGTAGAAGAGTGTTTCTTCAGTTCCTAGTAGGTGGTAGTAGGATGAAAATCTAGACTAACAAACTGAAACCTAGATTACTTTGCTCCAACTTCTTCAACCGGTGCTGACTTTCTCCATTTTACCCTGTTTACTACCAATACTTGTTACGTTTTTTTTTTTTTGTCTATATCTTATTAATCATCACCGATTTTAGTATGAACTCGGATCCCATTTGTAGAATGAAGTCCCTGACTTTTTGTCCTCATTTCACTGTTGGAGAAGTTCAGGCTAAGAAGGCCATGAAGGTGTTAGATTCATTTTTAGCCTTTGCACTCAGTTGTTTTGTTCTTTTGTGTTAAGGCCAGTGTTGCTCTAACATGAAGCATGACTAATAATATGTCTCGGTTACGTGTATTTTGTTGCAGTGTGTGGTGAAGAGACCAGTTTGGTCTGTTGCTGAATCAATCCTGCAGCTTTTTTTTAATGGCTAGGGCTGGTTTTTGTGAAGTTTAACTACAGGTGTGTCAGTAACAACCATCTGCCTTAATGCATTAATTGAGCAGAACAAGAACCTGGTAATATTACTGTCTGCTGCTGTATTCAGTAGAGTTATTGTTCACTGGTTCAATAATATTTGGCATTTTTTCCATAGGCAATAAGTAATAAGGACCAACACAGCATATCTTACACTTTGTCTCGGGCCCAGACGGTGGTAGTTGAATATACACATGACAGCAACACAGATATGTTCCAGGTACGTGAAGTAATTATGAAATATAAATGTGTTCTCGCTTTGGGTAGTTTCTAACAAGACATCCTCTCACCAGGCTTTTTCCTTCAGACCCAAAAGTTTGCATGTGTCACTTTTTGCACTTTGCTATTCTGTTCGTTCCCGAAGCCATCACACGAACAAGGCTGTGCTGTATATCTGTGCATCTCTTTTAGGCTTGGTCAGGGGTGAAAGTTGTTGGGGTTTTTGTGACTAATGCACAGGATTATGGTTTTGCCTTTGGTTGCTGGTCTGGAAGTCACGTAACCTAGTCCCTCCTTGCAAAATGAAGAATAAGGTGCACAGTTCTCTTTAAGCACTTGAAACTTCGCTTCTAGCATTTATGAAGGGACTTGGGATCAGCCAGTTGGAGACAGGGTGGAAGAAATACAATGTGAAAATACAGGAAAGCTTTTGACACAACGGATTTGAAAAACACCCCTAAGGTCTTTAAGCAAACCCAGAAATAAGTATAAAGTGCTGAGAAATGTGGAGGGAGGAGGCCCATTTCTGATGTGCTGGCAGTTCAGAGCAACTTTGCAGTTCCTGTATGTATGAGAAGGAACCACAAACACATTTGCAGCTGTGGCGTTCACTCATATCTTATAATTGTTTCCTGTTTTTCGCAAAAGGAAGGGTTTTGGTTTTTTTGGGTGGGGGGGGTTGTGTGCTTTGTTCCTTCTGATTCCTGAACTGATCTTGGGTTGATTTGGGTTTGTTTTTTTTTTTTTTTTTTGTTGTCACTAATTTATGGCGAGGAGTTTTGCTGTCACAGCACTTAGCTGTGACGCCACTGCAGGATCTGAGGAGGTGGGAGGCGTCGGTAAGTGGTGGAGGAAGCTGCTATGCAACTGCAAATACCTACAACAGAGCAAAAGGGCTTTAATGAACTAACTGCAGCATAAGCTATTGTTTGTGTAAGCGTTCTCTCCTCGGGCATGCTGTGGCATGTATGCTGCTCTAAAATTGCCAGTGGCAATCCCTGTGTACCGATGGGTTATCCTGCACAAGAAGCAATAGAAAAATACATTCTGACAAAGCAGTTTCAGTCTCGTGAAAGCTCGCCAGCCTTCACCAAAAAAGTACCTCAGGCTTTTGGGTCTCTTGCCCAGCAGTTAATCCGTTTTAATAAAACCAGCTATTTTATAAGGGGCTGAAAGCTGCGGGTGAGCGAAAGCTAGTAGAGTGTAAGTGGGCTTTAAACCTGGCTACATGGATATTTGGGAGAGGGATATAACTTCTCTTCGTGCTTTATAAGGACAAGATGAGTTGACAAACCCGGTACGGTTGTATGGACTCTCAGACTCATTCTTGCATGCAACCAGAAAAGAAGGCACAGCTACTAAAAAAAAAACCCGATTGTAGTCAGATGTTGCACCCTCGTTGTGTTCTGTGCACATTAATGTAACCCCTCCCTGCCACAAACATTTTGTACCTGGTCTTTCCCCGGCAGATTTGCTGCTTCTCAGTCCCCCGCCAGAGCTGGAGAGTCAGCTCACATCTTCTAATTTCCTTACATCTACACCTCCACCTAGTCTGGCATTGTTCAGAATATTCTGGGCATGCAAAGTGACTATCACTTTTCTTCCACCTAACTGCTGTTTCCTAGCTGTTCTGGCACTGCTGCAGCTGGTCTGGCTGACCTGAGTGTAACCTTTCTGATGAGAAGGCCTATCAATGGGAAATCGTCTCAGAATTGACTTTATTACATCATTTTCTTTCCCCTTCCTTCGGTTGGCAGTACTCAGCCTTCAGAATAACTTTGGTCACATGGAGGTGGGATAACTCATCAATTCAGATTAGGCTTTAGAAACCTAAATTTAGGTTGGTGGAGGGAAATGCTTCAAATGGGATCGTCATGATTTTTTTCTTGATCAGTTCTAAATGTTCTGAGTTTGCATATTCCTAGACACAAAGGCAAACTTAAAGAGTTTTGGGCTTGCTTGTTTTTTATTTTTTTTTCTTCGTCGTTTTAACCCCTTTCCAGATTGGTCGGTCAACGGAGAGTCCTATAGACTTTGTCGTGACAGATACAGTTCCTGGAAGTCAGAGTAATTCAGATACACAGTCCGTGCAGAGCACTATATCAAGGTTTGCCTGCAGAATCATATGTGAACGTAACCCTCCTTTTACAGCAAGAATATATGCTGCAGGATTTGATTCCTCAAAAAACATCTTTCTTGGGGTAAGGGAACTCTTTCTTTTTTCCACTGAGTTCAGTGCAGGCTTATTTTTAAACTAATTCATAGCTCCACTTCAGCCAAATTAAAAGTTTTCATTGATGTAATTTCTCTTAGGAGAAAGCTGCAAAGTGGAAGACATCAGATGGGCAAATGGATGGACTAACCACAAATGGAGTTCTTGTTATGCATCCTCGTAATGGATTTACGGAAGACTCCAAGCCAGGGGTGTGGAGAGAGATATCTGTGTGTGGGAATGTGTTCAGCCTCCGTGAAACCAGATCAGCTCAGCAGAGGGGAAAAATGGTAAAAGTAGCGACCGACGCTTCACGCACCGTGTTTAAAATGGGTACAGCCTGAAGGGGTGAAACTCGGGCACAAGCAGAGGCTGGAATCTGCCTCCTTCAGTGTAGATGTCACCTCTGTAATTAGTCACATTGACTTCTTATGCGTGTCTGTCTTGATACACGAAGGTGTCTTGCTCAACCTGAATAACTGATAGGGTTTATCTGCAAATTAGTGCTTAACTGCAGAACTAGGCTGCTCTCCCAAATTGAGTTGCCAGTCTAGTACGCTCTTCAGCAAACTCGGTCATACTTAAAGAGCATTTTCCTGATTCTCCTTCTTGAGTTCGATTTTAAGGTTTTCCCACTCTCCCTTTTTGTTGAATAATTAATTACAGTTTTACTGACACACACCTGTATACCTGGATATCCATTTCCACCTTGGCGTTCTGAGTTTTCCTCTTGTTGCCAAAGCGTTGGCGACCTTTCCACGTGGTGCTTGGTCTTGGTATGACTTGGGATCTCTTAGCGAAAAGGAATGCTGCATGAACACTTAATTGATGCATTTAGCTAGGAGTGGTAACATCTGACTTTTTCTGGAGGAGAGGAAAGCCACGTGTAAAGGTGCGTTAGAAGAAAACAGTCTAAAATGTGATGGAGGACTAAATAAAAGTTGCCTTGTGCCATTCCTCCTCGAGGCATTTCAGGTAGCGTGGTTGGCACTGCTGTAGGGATGGAGTTGAGGAGCTTTTCACACCTTAATTTTTTTTTTAACATACGCATTGATATTGTCTTAAAGTGGATTGGGGGGGGGTTTCTTGAGAGGGGGGGTTGTGGTTTGTGTTCCCTTTTTTTTTTTTTTTAAAGGAGGGGAGAGAGAAGCTAACACTGGGCACTCTGCAGGCGTCTTGTGTAGGACAGTCAGGAGATGCCTGAAATTTTTTTGCCCGGATCTTCCGGGCAGATTTGCGTTGCGGGAAGCGCACTGTGTTACTCTTCAGATAACCTCTGGTGACACCTCCCGTTCTCTTTGTCCGTCACAAGGTTGAGAACGAAACGAACCAGCTCCAGGACGGCTCTCTGATTGACCTGTGCGGAGCAACGCTGCTGTGGCGCACGGCGGAAGGGCTTTCCCGCACTCCGACTGTCAAGCACCTGGAGGCCCTAAGACAGGAAATAAACGCAGCAAGGCCCCAGTGTCCCGTGGGTTTTAACACCTTGGCATTCCCCAGCATGAAGAGGAAAGATGTCGTAGACGAAAAGCAGCCGTGGGTGTATCTGAACTGTGGCCACGTCCACGGCTATCACAACTGGGGAAACAAAGAGGAGAGAGACGGCAAGGATCGGGAGTGTCCCATGTGCCGCTCCGTCGGCCCCTACGTGCCCCTCTGGCTGGGGTGTGAAGCGGGGTTTTATGTGGACGCGGGACCTCCAACCCACGCGTTCAGCCCGTGCGGGCACGTGTGCTCGGAAAAGACAACTGCATACTGGTCCCAAATTCCTCTCCCTCACGGTACTCACACTTTTCACGCAGCCTGTCCGTTCTGTGCACATCAGCTGGCTGGGGAGCAAGGTTACATCAGACTCATTTTCCAGGGACCTCTTGACTAACGCACGTGTTACCCAGGACTGCAGTAAACTGATAAGCTACGCGATTCTGATTTTTAAATCAACCGGTTTTCCTATTCTCTGGGCTTCGCTGGTTTGCGTTAAGATGAAGAACTCGGGGGGGTTTTGTTACGACAGCGAAATCCCTCTCTGTTGAGAAAAGTCTGAAAGTGGAAGAAACGGAGGGTGAAGGGGGAGAACTGCTTTTTTTTTTTTTTTTTAGTTAATAACTACTTCTGAAGAGGTGAAGGAAGTGGTGTGGAGTGAACTTCGATGCCTTCCGTTCAATGGCTTTGAATCACATGCCCACAGTGTTTGAAAGCTGTTTCATTCTTTTTTGTATATGGAGGGTAAAGAACATTAGTTTACAGCTTGGATGCAAACATTGTAAAATAACACGTGTATATTAACTCTTTTCTATTTATCTTTATTATTGAAAATACGTAGAATGTGTAGAGAGTAGCATGGTCATAGTGTGTTACATCCAGCAGTTGGATGTGTAGAGTAGTTCTGGGTGGAGAAGAACATGAGATGGAAATGGTAGAAAAATCTTTTTTAATCTAAAATACTGAGTTCTTAGAATAGTTTAAATGCTTTTTAAACAAAGCTAATGCAAATTACGACGGCATAAAGGTGCGCTTTAATCACGTTGAAAGGTAGCTAAGAAGGACTTGTTAAAATGTCTTTTTGGTAGGACTGTACGTAAGATCTGGTTACGAAGAGAATATTTACCGGACTCTTTGAATATGCAACTTAGTCTAGATTAAGGATTTTTTTTCTCCCTTCACGCTAACACATCTCTTTATTTAGCATTAGTGAGGGTTTGCCCAACGTTAACCGTTAAACAAACCTGAAAGACAAGGCTCAGTTTGTTCCTCGCCTCATGGGGCGAGGGGGGAGGTGGGGGGGGGGGGGGGGGGGAGCAGGGAGCAATTTTCCAGTGGGCCACAGGCCCGGCTGGTCCGTCGGCTGTTGGGCCTTTCGGCGGGGGCCGGGGGCTGCCTGCCGCGGCCCCTGGCCCTGCTGCGAGCTGCAAACGCCACGCGCGGCGCGGAGCTGAAGCCTGGTTACCCCGGGGGTGCGGGCCGGGGGGTGACCCGTGAGAGGGGGGGCAGCTAGAGCTGGGGGGGCGCCGGGCTGGGCTCCTGCGGGGCGGCCGGGTGTGCTCCCGCTGCGGCGCGCTCTAGGTCGTGGGCTCTCTCTGCTTTCCCCTCCCTACCCCTTCCTTTCCCTCTCCCCACCAGAAAAGGCCAGTGCACTACATCCAGCTTTGCTGCTAACCCACCGTGCTTCATGGCAAATGCACAGCCTGACCTTTTTAGGATCGAGTTGAGCTTTTTTTTGGCCAGCTTCATACTTTTTTTTTTTTTTTTTTTTTTTCCCCCCCAAAATACGTACTGTATAATTGACGGTAGCAAATTTCTGTACTTTATAGCATAGCTTTAATTTTTCCTTTTGAAGCTCTTCTAAAATTTTCTTGGTTTAAAGAGAGACCTATGTTGCTTAGATGTCATGAATTATTTACTTTGACTGTCAACTGTTTCTCCATTTTAAAAAAGAAATTATATATATTGTTTGGTTCACTCAGGAAATGCATGTGTCAGGAAACCTGTATTATAAGTTCAGTCAGCTGTCATGTACAAGTAACTGCTGTTACTCCCTTTCCATAGAAATATAACTGATATTGACATTTTCCAGATTATATGCATTAAGTAATGAAACTTATGCAGCAAGAAATCCCTGTATTGTAGTTGTTCTAATCATTTTATTCCAACTATAGTATACTGTAGTTTAATTTTTATTTGCAAATTAATTTATTCAAACTACGTGAGTAAACACTTTTCAAAAATAGAAATTCTGGGATTGTCTGTTGCTTTGTTTCCGAGAGATGGGAAAGGTGGCTGGAGATGGCCCCTCGGCTCTCCCTTACGGTGTCTGTTCTGCGTATGTGGATTAAGATCGCAAGAAGGAAGCAACTGTAAAGAGTTTACATGTTGTCCTGGTCTTGGATTTGAATGGCTCCTTTCACCTGTCACGTCTCAGTATGTCTCATATTTAACCCTACATTAACAAAGGTGAGCTTGTTGTTCAGGAGACATAGTTAAATGTTCTCTTCCCCGAGTCAGTTGCGAATAATGAAATAGAAGCAAAAACTTGAACTAAATGGCTGGGCTCTTCGAAAACGCGAAGAGCTCTTGGTTCCATCTTCCACAAAATTGGATTGACACTTCTCCCTCGCCCTGATCTCGTCGACTACGGGGAAATGAAAAATCAGAAAGGGCCGCGGTGAAAGCTGCAAAGCAGTATGAGCAATACAGAGACAAACAGTGAAAACAGGTTGAAAATGGGCGGGAGCAGACACAGGGAGCTTGCCCTGTGCTGGAGGCCCGGCTGGATGCCGGGGTGGAGCCAGCTGAGGATGTGCACATCTGGCTGTAGGAGGGGGGGAAGAACGAGCGGTTCCTGGCCAGCACACGGCCATCGTTAGGCCTCTGCCCCGTTAAGGTGACACGTTAGGCTTTCACTATACTGCTCTACCCCTGCTCTCCCCTCACCCCCCAGAAAACCACCAAAACACCGCGGAAGGCGGCGTAGTCTTGAGAGCTGACACTTTCTCTGGGCAGCACTAGGCTGTGTTAACCCTTCAGAGTCAGCTCTCTGCCTGTTGTCTACTTTTCTTGATTCAAACTGGGTTTGTTAATCCCGTTTTTAAAGAGGCAGAACGTGGGCATTCAAACGCCCGAGACGTGGAAATCCTGCTGTCAAAAGCAGGATAGCAGCCGTCGGGGTGGTTTGAGGAACAATTTCCATGCAAGGTGCAAGCCAACCAAAAGCGGTAGCTTTGACGGTGGCTCCCTGTTTGAGTTCCCCCGGGCTTCTCTTCTTTAATAAACAGTTTGAGTAGAAGGTCCTGTACTCTTTAAACTGCAAAATGAATGCCAGATTACAAGTAAAACGATCCCTTCGACTCACCTAGCTGACTGAAACGCTCTAAACCTTAAGGCCTTTGCTTCTGAACAAACCAGGGAGCTGTGCCGGCTTAAATCGGCCCCTTGTACCTGCAAAAACCAGCCCCAAATGAGATCTGTGGTCTTAATCTGCGTTCAAAGGTTTGGTCGAATGGAAAAAGGCATCAGTGAGGTAACCAGCAGCTGGGAGGGGACTGTCCCCTGTGAGATCACCACAGGTACGTGGAACTGATGAAGGGAGCATGTGTGGAAATGGAAGTCGGCGTAGGCCCTTCTCTAGCCTTAAAAGTTTTGTGAAGATCTGCCCAAACGCATCTGGAAAGGAGCAGCCAGCCTTCTGCAGTCTGCTTGTGCGTGGCTGCTCGGCTCCGTGCAGCTTGCGTGATGTGTCGTGCAGGTGATTTAATGAGCTAATTTGCTTTTCAGCTGCAGGAAATGGCATGGATTTAACACTGGTAAAAGGCAGCAGCTTGGCACAGCAGCTGGCTAATGAAGCCTTTTATTTTTTTTTTTTTTTTTTTGGGGGGGGGGTTGTTGTTTGTTCTTTTTTTTTTTTTTTTTTTTTTCTCCTGCAAAGCAGAAGTGGGGCAGCTTGGCATGTTGCCTCGCAGCGGGGCAGGCACACATTGACAGGGAGGTTGCTGGGGGCTGTCCCTGCCTGGTAAGGCAGGGGGAGAGCTCTTTTCCCTTTGCTGACTCAGCAGCTGGGTCCAAGCCCTGCTGTGAGCGTGAGGTGGGGCTCCGAGGTGTGCGGGCCAGGCTGGGGGGTGAGATTTTTCTAATCCCATCTCTGCCAGGCTCGTTACACCTGCAGGAATGAGGCTGGTATCCTGAAAGGTTTAATGATGTGCTGAAGTCACCCCAGCAGTCCCTCCCGTGTTTGAAGGTGCTCTGCAAATCCCATAATGACCCTGCTGTGGCATGCTCGATCTCCTGAAGAGACACTTTCCAGGCCTGATTCTAAAAATACATTTCCAGTTTTACAATACGACTCTTATCACGATGACTGTGGTTACCGACCTGCACGCTGTCTTTCAGCCTGGATTAGGCCTGGTTGCTGCTGAATTAGACCAGATTTCCTGGTCCTAACCTTGGCTCATGCCATCCCTGCTTCCTTTTCTGTAAAAACACTAGCAAAGCTCATCTATTTTTTTTAATTGTAGCACTCTGCTTTAATATAAGGGCAATGATCATCCTGGAAATGAAGCTTCTAAGGCTCTTTCCTGGCTATGGGAGATCACTTGTTAGGCGAGCTGTCGTGCATCCTGTGAAGACGTGGGAGAGCATCTCTGCGGGAGCTGTGATGGCTCCTGTGACTTGTCGAGGTCTCTTCGGCAAGCGTGGCCTCTTGCAAGGGCAGCAGCAAGAGCTCAGGGCCCCATTTTCTTGCAGAGAAAGAGCAGCGTGTCAAACTGTGCTGTGCGGATGCGGTATCTCACGGTAAGGTACCCGCTGCCGCAAGCCGAGCCGGGGAAACACCGGTGTGTGCTGTTGTAGAAGAAACAGCTGGCTGGTCTAATCTTTTAATTTTTTTTTTTTGAAGCATAAGCCAAAGGGTGGTAGGTTTCAAGAGCAGGGAGAAAAAAAAAAATAAAAAATAAAGTGTTTGAGGGAATAAAGCGTCAAGGGGAAGCTGCCCCAGAGAGCAGCCGTCCCGAACACAGCCTTAGTGCCCCTGTGAGCTGCTGCGCATCTTCCTCCTCCTCCCTCCAGTCCTGGCAGATACGGTCTTTTCCGTGAAGAGCGGGCAACTGCCTTGCGTGGGATCAGGTTAGGCATCAGCCGGGGTGGCCTCAGCCTGAGCTCGGGGGAAGAGGCCTGCCCAGCGGCGAGGCGCCAGCCCGGGCGGTCAGGAGCTCCCTGCCCGCTCCCCGCCACTAGTGACGCTGCTGCGAGCGTGCCCAGCTCGCCCTCCTCGTGGCATCAGCCTGTTTTCTGGCCCGAGATGTTTGCCTGGCTCTGCTGGAGAAGGAGGGGTGTGTGGCAGCAGCGAAGGCGCCAGCAAATACTCGGCTCTGCCGCGCGTGGGGTTCAGACATCTCGGATCCTCCGCGCGGGCGCGATATGACCTCACGGATCAACTAGAGAAGCACTTTCCTGCCGGCAGAGGCAACTCCTTTGTAATTTGGCAACCTCTGTGATATGCTGATGCTTTCGGTTTGAATGCTTTTGCTGATTTAGGGTCACTAAACAGCTCTTGAGGCAGGAGTAAATTATTAATCTGCTCTGACTTCCTTCCTCTACCCTACGTAAATAATAACCGCTCCGTACCGAGTTCACTACTGGAGACCTGGTGCCTTTCGGAAAGAGGACGAGGGTAGAGTCCTCTGGAGTTATAACTCGCTCCAGGATTGTCTATTTTAACTCCTCTCAGTGGAAAGGTCTCATTAAAAGGTTTCCCCTCCACAGCTCTTGCACAGCACGTGACGGACTCCTAAGGCTTCCCTGTGAACCCACCGCACGAAGCGAGCGCGGCATGGAGAGGGGAGGTAGGAAATGATAATTCACATTTTCAGACAGTAAACGAAAGTGTAAAATCACTCGGGGTGGGGGAAGGAGCTCCCTTAAGTGTATTCTTTACTAATAACTCCCAAGATCATCCAGTTGTCTTATAGCTCATTGTCTTTGCCCTCACTTATGCTTCAAAAAAAGATTAAAAGATTAGATTCACTTTTCCTCTGCAGTTTTTTTTATCTGACAGTTTCTCAGTCATGTTTACCGTGGTTATGATTTGAGTATTTCTATTGAAATATGTGATTTTTAATGCACTGAACCACGTTGGCTGGGGTTCAGGCCCTGCAAAACGTGTTTGGGGAGTTTTCTGGTCATCTATTCTATAGGCTAGGTAGGGTTTCCCTTCAGTCTTTCCTGGAAAATGCTGGAAATGTGAGCTGGCCAAGGAGAGGGGAAGAGTGATGGCTTTCCCGGGCTCCTGAGAAACAGCTACATGAAGGATGAGTCTTGTGGTAAGCCCAGTGTTTCATCTCTGGGCTGAAGGGATCCACTTCTTTCCCTGGATCGTGCTCAGATCCCCGGCACCTCCCACACCCCAGCCCTCTGACACCTGTAAAATAACACTTTAATGCGACCCCCCTGACAACTGGGATCTACCCGTACTATCCCCTTTGGTTGGCTGCAAATTAGGAGCTGAATGAACACAAAGAAACCTTTAGTGCTTCTATATCCTCTTCTCTCCAAAATATTATTTTTAGCTGATCCCAGAAGATCTGAAACAAAACAAATGCATGCAGTGATATTCTAAACTTGCCTGGATGCAAAGCTAAAAACTGCAGCTTGCTGTCATGCGCTGTAGGAAAGGATTTGAGTCAACTCATCCTTTCCAAAAAACCCATGCCTTTTTTTTTTTTTTTTTTTTTTTTTCCTGTGGTGTGGGAGGAGGAGAGAATTAGTTATTCAGTGGAACGAGGACAATTAAAAGCAAATGCTGCTCCCAGCGATGCCATCATCTGTTCTGTGTTAGCCCTGAGCAACAGAGACAACCTGGCTTTTTAATTGGCCTCTCTTTTCTCTCTGGCCTGTGCTTCCAGTTGGCACAGTGGCTGACATTTTCAAAAGCCTCCGCAGGACTGAGATGCAGGCGTGCCTGCTTTTGTTTTGCCTGGGCAGCCGCTTAAAGATATGATTTGAAAAGGGGATGAAAGGCTCCAAATCGAGGTGGGCTGAGGTCAGGGTCTCACCCGCCCAGCTTGCCTTCCCCCGGAGCGTTGCCTTGGAACGGGGACACATCCCTGGCTCCCACCGCCGGGGTGAACCCGTGATGCCACCCCCCGCCGCTGCGGGAGGGTGAGGGTCCCCGGTGAATCACAGCGGCGCGGGCGCCTCTTCCCATCTGCCGCCCCTTCCCCGCGGCCGGCGGGGCAAAGCCGGTCCCAGGCGCCGCAGAGCAAAGCTTCCAGGGCCTCGCTGCGTTTCATTAGCTTGCTTCGCTTCTAAAGGGGAGCTAAATCAATCGGAAGGTCTTTAAAATGCTGCCCAACGGTACAGAGCGTGGGTATTCAAGGCTTGTTCAATTATTTGCATTAAAAGTGGATTCAGAGCGGTTTTCCTGAGAGGCAGGGTGAGCGATGCCGAAGACCTCGGCTCCACCGTCGCTCGGGGTGTTTTCAGTGTTACTCAGCTGTTCCTGCCAGCGTCACCCTTTATCGCTTGGAAATCTCACTCCGCCTGTTCTGGAGCGGGAGAGGCAGGAGGTGTGTGCAAGCGCCTTTGGGCGTCAATGAATCAGCGCTCACGCCGAGCTCCTTGGCAGCTCCTGGCAGCTGCCTGCGGGGGGAAAGCCATCGCCCCAGCCCGGGCAGCAGCCTCTGCGAAAGGGGAGGCTTGGCTAGAGGCTGTGACAGCCCTAAGGCAAAAACCACCCCAGCTGCCCTGTTCTTAATCCAATATTGCCAAATACACAGGTTTTTATACAGAGGAGTGTTTTTCATACCGTGGAGGCCTGGAATTAGCGTTCCTCGAGACAGCATGAATATATTTATAGACCATGTGTGTCTGCATTTTGTTATATTTTTATCTTTATAGGCTAAGAGTTAATAAAGCCAGGCTGTACTTATGTTTCTGCAGTGAAAAATGTGTTGAATGGTATCATGCTCTACTAGCCCTAAACAGTCTTTCAGACTGTAATTTAGGGGCTAATTCACACTACAGAAGTATAAAGGTTGGATGTCAGAGGTCGGCTTCCCCAGGACCCAGCAGAGGAAAAGAAGAGCAGCTGTGGGAGTCCCCAGGGTGGAAATATTTAAACCACCTTTGCTCTTGGTACTCCAAAAAAAAAAAAAAAAAAAGCAAGGCATCCCATGTATTCTAAATGACTTTCCTGAGCCAGCTTGCCACCTGGCACCCTGCGTACGTACTGCCAGCAATCACCTTATGTTTGCTCCCAGATCCTGAGCAGCAACACGAAGCAGCATCAGCTCCGGGCGCGATTCTGTCCGGGCCGTGGCAGAGCCTCCCCTGAGGAGCTCTCAGCTAATCCGTTTAACGTGGGCTTTTCTGACAGGGGAGAGTGCTGATCTTCTAATCACAATGTCGCCCTGTACTGATGTCTTGCAAAACTCCATTCCGACTGCCTTTTACCTGCCAGACTTGTTATCTCAAAGGAGGGAAGCAGGTTTGCCAGATGTGGGTTTTTCTTCCGAAAAAAACCCCCATGTTGATTGCCATTATGTTATTGTCCTTTACTTGTGAACTCTGGTCAGCTTTCTCTTTATTTTGCTCAGTATTGATGTCAGATGAGCTAGTCTAAAACTGTGGTTCTGGCCCTCTTTTGAGTACCAGATCTTAGTGTCTCTGGAGTTTCCCTACTATTGCAAAGGAAAAAAAAAAAGAAAAACCAGTAAATGTTTCTGGATTGCATCAAACCATATTTTCACAAATTTCAGAGGCAAGCTTCTTTGCATCAACTGATTCAAAAATGTATTGTTCATAACGTAATCGTGGATCCGTGAAAGGTCCTCTCCTGCATTATTCTGCCCCACGGCAGGGTCGGTTCTACCCAAATCCTGCTTGCAAGTGTTCATCTCACCTTTTCAAAATCTGCAGGAATAGAGACTCCACAATCTCTCCAGGCAGCCCGTTCCTTGGTTCAGCTGTGCTCCTAGTGAAAAATTGCTCTTCATCTCGAACGTAAAGTCCCCCTCCGAAGGAAAGCTTTATGATTGTTTCCCCCCAGAGGATGCGGAGGCAATAATTTTGTCTCCCTTCTTCTAGCAGTTTTTTACACAGTTGAAGGCTGTGAGCATGGCTCTTCTCAGCCTTTTCATCTGTACACTAAAGCAGTCTTTTTGATCTATCTTTCACAGGTTGTGTTTGCCAGGCTGCCAGCGTTCTTGCTTCTGTTTCCTGAACTCTGTCTTCGACTTCACCATGTCCTCCCTGAGGTCTTCCACTTGCTGACTGAAGTGAGAAGGTCCCTTGCCCATGTCCTGCACGCTGCATGTCCCTCCGAAGATTCTTACCCACCTCCTCAAGTGGGGGAAAAAAAAAGTATCCCGACAGTTCTTTGTTTCGCTACGTTTCTGCCCACTGAGAAGCGTTTCAATTTTGGGTGCCTGAGCCCCGAACGCCGAGCAATTCAGCTCTGCTACAGACTCCTCCTTTCAGGCTTTAACCACAAGGCATGAGTGGGGTGATCCACACCAAAACAAGGCTGCACAAGCAAATAGCAGTGCTGCTCACGGTGTCACTGCTGCACCCGGGAGTGGGGCTGTGCACCCCGGGGATGGAGGAAATTGGAGATGGGGAGGCTTCTTGCCTACCCTGGGCTTCTGTGCTTCTCCCAGAGCCCCCCCCAGTTCACCTCTCTTCGCGGGACAGATCCTGCCTTAGATCCTGTGCAGACCAACGGCCTTACACAGCCAAGCTGCTCCCATCTTCCCTGTGAAACCAGCTCATTAACGAGCGAAGCCAGACCCTGCCAGCTCCCCCTCTAATAAAGCAAACTGAAGAGCAAGTTGAGTCCCAAGATTTACCTGGTGTTTTCTTAAAGAAAAAAAAAAAAAAAAACAAAACAACTCAAACCAAAAGCTTTTGTATTCCAAGCACTTCTGCGGAGTTTGGAAATAAAGATGTTACAACTCTCCGCAAAGCGTATGCCTCTTAGCGATTGACAGCTTTCCCTGTGTGACACCCAATGAACTTGTCCAACAGATGGACCTGGAAGAAAAAAAGGGAGGAAAGGTGCCTAAGAAGCCTTAAACCTCTGATATTCAGTTTATTAAAATTTGATGGTGAGCTATTAATAATTAATGCAGCCAGGAAGATGGGAGAACCGCAGTATAATGGCCTCGAGATTTCTAGTTAGCCAGATTTCTCTACAGAGCTGGGAAAGAAGAGAGCAGCTTTCAAGAGGATGAAAAGGCTCCTCTGAGGGACAGATGTAAGCAGCAGTCAGCAACGGTCTCTGCGGGCTGGGTAGATCGCTGGAAGAGGATTTTAAGCGTTTCTTTCATTAAAAGCTGAACTGGGGGTGGGTGGTGCGCATGTCTCGTAAGGAAAAGATGCTCATGAATGCCAAGACCTCGAGTACAAGGTAAGGAATTGGGCTCATTTCCTTGCTGAGGGTGATTTCCTGAGCGAAACGAACTCTTTCTCCCCGCATCTCCCATCCCTCCCGGGACGCGCACAGAAATGCAGCCTCCCGCCCCTTCGGCCAGATTTTGGGAGCCGGCGTTCCCGCGGCAGTGACTGTCGGGGACGTCCAGAGCGAGGGGACGCGATGAACGTTGCGCCTTAAGCGTAAACAGCTCACTCGCCCGTTCACCTCCTAGTAACTTTGTCTAGACCGTTTCCTTTGGTGGCTGCACGAGCCAGCGTGATTCAAGTGAAGATGCAGCACGTCTGTGACTTCCCTTTCCTGGCTGCCAGGCCAGCTGCCTTATCAAAGAGAGAAACGGGGCTGGTGAGACGCGGCTTGTTTTTGTAAGCCTGTGGCAGTTGCTTTAGGATCACGTGGGTCTTTCAGATTAATGAATGCTGTCTTTGGATGTCCCCCTAAATATCGATAATAGGTTCTCCGGTCCTGTGGGACCTCTCCTGTCCCCCAGAGTTTATAAAGTCATTCACTGACAACCATTTGATTAGGTTCTTGAAGGCTCCGGAGTAAATTTTACTTGGCCCTGCTGACTCTGAGTTCTTCTCATCTCTCTTAACGATTGTTTAAGGTCTTCTATTCCTCATCTGGCCTGTATTTCCTGTCTCTGGTTGTTGGTATGAAACGTGTTAATAAGCATCTGGATGCCATTAACATATTTTGTCAGAACAGAAGCAGGGAAAAAAAAAAAAAAAAAAAAAAAAGTAAAAATTGAAGGCAGAGCCTATGTAGAAGTAAATCTGTGTTCTTTAGTGTTTGCATCAGGAGCAACCTCCCAGAAGAAGACATCTTTGCACCTTTCTTGTGCTTGTGAAGCACACCACTGGGACTGATTAATACCAATCCGGGAGGTATAAAAACACAGTGTGGACAAGGGATTTGCTATGTGGTACTAAGAAATGCCTCCACAGGATCCAGAGGGTATTAGGAAGAGCTTGGTGTGTCTGTGGTCATCTCAAAAAACCCTGTCCCAGTAAGCATTCCTGTTCTGGCTCCGCAAGCAGGGAATAAAAAGGGGCAGGACCGAAGCGTGCTGATCACTTTTCTCCTCGCTTTTCAGGACTGGGTGAAGCCACGGAGTGTATCTAAGGCTCTTCTGAACAGTCACCAGCAGATGAAGTGATCTGAGGCCTCGCCCACACCACAGTTTGTTCAGTCAGCTGCTGTAGGTCTTTTAACAGAGGTGCTTTTTAATGCAGCACAAACATCTTATTAAGTCAAGCACTGAAGAAATGTCACTTTGATTTTGACACACTACCCACAAAGTATGATGTATTTTCTGTTCTGTGGTGTTGTCAAGGTGGAGGAATGAATTAGCATGGATTTTTAATTACTTTGGTCTTGAACTCTGGTATAAATTGGAAGGGAAACATTGTCCTAGATGAATAGAGAGGCGGTGCAACAGCTGATCAGACCTCTGGTGAGGAGCCCTGTAAATGCAAAGAGGTGATTTTGGTCTTGTTTCTATCTCTAGCTTCTTCGATCCAGTTGCTCAGTTCCTACAGAAGCTTCTGCTGGCAGCAAGCAGACACCAGGAGACAAGAAAAGACATGTATTGTCTGAAATCCAGGTGCTCTTCATGTCTGGAAATCTGGGGAAAGGCTGCCATCTGCTGTAATGCAAAGCGGTTGCTGGAAATAGATCTGACCTAAATCAAGCCATAGTAGTCGTATTGAAGCTGTGATGAGTTTAGGGTAGAAGCAAGGCAAGAAAAGTGAAGGTGAACTGTGCATGCTGATGCTTTTCAGGGGATCACTCTCCTAATAATGGCTATCACCTGTCCCTACAAAATCGTGCCCTTAGAGGAAAAGACTCATTTTTGTGGTCTCTACCTGCTTTAATCCCTGGGATTTCCAGTCAAGGTCAGAGATGGGCAGAGGGGGACTGAGGCAAAGCTGCTGTCTGGAGGGACCTGCCGGGAGGTGACAGTGTGCTGCTGCTTCAATTTAATCTAGGCACCCACGTGTTTCTACAGCCTCTCAGCCGTAGAATTTTAAAATGCACAAAGGTATGTGTTTTTCCTCTCAGTGGTATGCGTGTGATACTTAAGATAGCAACGAGTTATCTTGGCTGCCTCTGCATTACTTGGTTGGGATTCCTGTGGCTGTACCCTCTATCCAGTGGACTTTGCAACCTAGAACAGACCAAAGTCTAAAAACATCTATAATTCAGGGCATTTATTTCTGATCTTTAAAATAAAATCCGTACTGAATCCTGTGGTAAAACTAGAACAGAATTCATATCTCTCAAAGTCCCTAAGATCCCAGCCCTGCTTGCTTGGTACCCTCTTTAGACATCACCAATTTGGTCTGCCTTTTCTGTATTTTTTTTCTTTTTCTCACTCCACGTCATTACTTGCTTTGAAACTGCACATTTTGACTCACAAGTAACGTTAGAAAGAAGAGCTTTTGGTTTGCCTGAGTAAAGGCAGGCTGAGAGGCCAGATAGGATTGTTCCGAATACACAGGTTAGCACGGTAGAACGTGGGGGGAAAGGACAGGAGCTCCTGACACCCTGCTCGTTTTGTAAAAGAAATCTACTGCATGGCTGTGGGGTGGCAGACGCATGTTTCTGGAGTCCTTTAGGAGTCAAACACCTCCTCTCACGCACGTTCAGATGAAAAGGATGCACTTAGGAGATGTAGTTTTTTAAAACGTTTGGTTGCGTACTGTCTGCCTGCTTGTACGCAGGCATCCGTCCCTCTGCCAGACGGTGCCTTATACACTAAAATCCAGTAAAGCCGAGACGTTTTGCTGCCTCTGGGATACCAGGATGGTTGGAAACATTGAGGGCTGGGAAGGAAAATAATTGATTTTTGGCTGTGTTTTGTTACAGCGGTCAGGAGGTCTAACATCAAATACTGCTGAAGAGATGGTCAGCTCAAGACGGTTGGTAGTGAAGCCTAAATGGTGGAAGCAGAGAGAGAGAGGCCAATAAAAGAGAGATAAATATTTGTGAGCATTACAAAGGTGTGGGCCGTACTGGCGAAAACACCCAGGATGTGATGTAGACAGAAAAAAATAAATGAGAGCGAGGAACTTCTTCGGGTGTATCTCAAAGAGTAGCAGAATTAGAGAAAGAGTCCACAGGCTGCAAAAGGAGAAGTCTAACATAGACCCAGCAAAGCTGGAGGCCTTGATAAGGCATCTTGACCCCTGTGGGTGATTTCAGTGCATGCTACAGGTAAATTCCATGTGCGTCAGGCACACCTGGTCTTTATACAATGATTCCTTGTTGCCAAACAGGAGAACCTCCTGTTGTGTTTTTCAGAGGCTTCACATGTCACCATTTAATTTAAAAATGAAGCCCTGTTCGAGTCCATGGTTGATACTGGAGTTGCTGCTCGGACCAGACTGTTTCCCATTACACTTCCCTGAAAGCATCCCACTAGAATCCCTCCTTTTGTAATGTCGGGGTGGCAGTGGCCGAATTCAAAGGCAGCGCTGCCCATAACAAAGCCAGCCTGGAAAGCTGACATAAAAAAAAAACCCAGAGCCCCTGATGACTCAGGTATTAATGTACTCCATCAGAATAAGCTGCTATCTGATAAAATGTGCTCACTCCAGATACAGGAGCAAGAGCTTTTAATTTCACACAGCCTCTTTACTGGAGACTGACAGTACCAGGAAGAAACTAGGTTAAATGCGGATACATCTGCAGCATGTCTAATGTGCTGAGGAATGACTTAGAGCCAAGAGGAGCTCTGCTACCGTTGCAGACATGGAGGAACAAATGCCGTATTGTTTAGGAGCAAGGGGAGAGATCTGGCAGCCCTGCTGCATGGACTGTCCTTACCTCGTGACAGTCTCTTGGTGGAGTCTGTTAAGAAACTGTCCCAGACAGAGCCACTGGCCTTCCCTACCCTGATCCAGCCGCTTTTCCTTCCTGCAGGCCCCTTCTCACACCCTGTGTGCTCCGACATGCTGTAGTGGCCTGGCTCCTTCTCATCGTGGAAGGAAAACGTGGGTATTGTCCTCCAGGGCCACAGCAAGCCCCTGTCCCACCCCGTATCTCGCCTCTAGCAAGGATACAGCACGTGAGGAGGTGGCCCGTGAGCTCAGAGGTGGGCCAGCCATCTGTCTTCTCTACATGGGTACGATCCTGAGCTCTGACAGTTAGTGTTTGGTTGACAGGATAAAAACCATCTTCAAAACCGTCATATGGGTTAGTTTTGAAAGCCACCGATGTTGCCCTATAAAACTGCCGCCCCGTTCTGCATCTTTCTAAGTTCTCAAAAGATTCCTTGTGGCATTGAGCACCACACTCCACGTACACAAAGCACGGAAATGTTTTCCCTGCTATTGGCATGAAAAATTCAGTCTTAATATCCCTTCGCTTCACTGGAGACAAAGGAGAGCAGGAATCCTCCATCTGCTTTCTCTGCAGTGTTCGTTATTTTACATATTTCTTTTATATCCCTTGCTTCCTCCAAGGAGAGCTTTTCCTTGATGTTTGGTTGTTCCTATCATTGTTTAATGCTGCTCTTTTAGAGAAAAGATTACCCACTACACTCAGGGTTCCTGGGGGACCTGCCCCTCTAATTACATTTAATCATTTTCTCTCTCATATTCCCTATGGATCCCAATACCTTGTTCATTTTTTCACTTTGCAGTACAACCTCAGCAAATGCTTTCTGCTAAAGTTTCTGAAATCTAGCAGTATCAGGACCCTGCAAGCCAGGACCTACTAAAACACTATAACATCCCAAGAAAGGAGCCCAGATATTACTAGAGATAACCCAGCTTTTACAATAGTCGGCTACTAGTCCTGCCACCGAGCAGTAATACGCATTTCCTTACCTCTTATTGTCTCTTGCCCTCTCTCATATCTGGAAAAACATCAAGCTACTTTTTATTGTTTATTTTCTACATCATAAAACACGCTGTTTCCCCTGTTTCTTCTCCAGGAAGATTTTGCAGGAGACTCCCGAACCAGAGTGAGTGTAGGAAAAAATCCTGTCATATTTCTGTTGTTGAATTTCAAGCATGCCAGTTTAACTCACTTATCTGAAAAAGTAACAGTAGAAAAACTTTCCTGGCTAAGACCTCTGGGGATTGGACTTGTTTACCAGGGAGACTCTTTGTAGGACTGTGTCCCACATGCACAGGAATAAGGATGTTTGTCATTTTCTACCACCCGGGCACTGTAGCACACTGGCAGCGCTGACTCACACTCTCCTGCAAAGCCGACGTGGCCCTTGGCAATCAGGAGGAAGCAGAGATAACTGAAATGCTACGGTCAGAAGATTTACCGTAAAAGCGTACTTTACAGACATAAGCTGTACTCGAAGAGACGGGTCGACACCACATCAAGTGAACCATGGTTGACTGACTCACAACTTCCTCACCAAACTCTGCTGGTAAAGAATTGGCCATTCTTACCTGATGAGAACCATCGGCACGTTCAGGCTGTGAAAGCGAGCTCACAAGAGCAGCCACGCCGTGTACTCTGGGGAAGTTTATTAGGGTTTAATCTTCTTAAAGTCACTAGAAATCATCCACTGAGCATCCTGCAGTCTTCGGGGGAGGAGATATCTCAGGCTGGACTGGCACTGTTGCTACCACCGTGGTGTGTAGCCAAAGGATGACAGTCGGAAAAAGCAAGCGGCAGGAGGGAACCACATGTCTGTCACCCTTCCCTTCTGGTCCACAAATATTATGCAGCATTAGTTTTTTCTTCCCAAGGGGAAAAGAGGGCTTTGCTGTTAATACAAAACACAGCAGAACAGTAACAACATTTAACTCAGAGAAAACACCAATGAAGCATAAGATAGAAAATCAAACAATTTGTTGCTTTCCCTGTGTGAGCAGATAACAAGATTCTCTACACTGAAACAGAAAAATATTAAAGGTCGTTGGAGGGCACATGGCTGACAGGTCGCTTTGAGGGTACAGCTTTCCCCTGTGTTTCTGGCACAATTAATCTTTGTGGATTTGAACGTGTCTCTCTGGTGGTAGAGAAACACAGAGCTGAGGTTTTCAGCTAGATCAGTACTTCCTGGGCAAATGTCAACTGAGAGGTGAGTCCAGCTCTACCCAAAGGTAATTTCATGCTAAGCAAGCGATGCGCAATTTCTTTTTAAAGCTGCTCTGAGAGATCAACTGAGACTAACCTGGCAGGACGTCTCCCTGACTTTGGGTGAAGACGCTTCAAGATTGGAGAGCTGAACCTCACCGGCTGAGCGCTGCGGTCAGTCCTGCACTGCTGGACTTAGCTGTGGCTCAGTTTGCAAACCAGGACTGGACACATTGCAGCAGCGAGCGTATCAGCCCATGATTCATCCAAGGGAGGCGCAGAAAATGGTATCCACGCTGCAGCATTCACCTTCAG